AATTAGAATATAATACATGGTTCGTGAATTTTCTAGAACATCATGGATACAAGAATAATGAAGGAATTTCTATAATCTTCCAAGCTTCATTGGGAATTCAAGACCTACACACAAGAAGTCATACCATATACACTAGCCTTCCTACATACTACACCTCCTTGTACTATACACCTCTCTACGAATCCACTATTCCTATCTTTGCACTACTCCTTTGTGAGTTACTATAGAGAGAGTTCTCTTATACTACTCACCCTTTCAAGGGTTCTTGTACTCTCCTATTTTCATATAGTGGATTATTTTGGGTGCTCGTCGTTGTGGGTTTTTTTTTGCCTCTATTGAGGATTTTTCCCACGTTAAATATTGTGTGTCCATTTTTATCACTTATCTTGCTTTTATCTTTCTCCTAATTATTTTATCAATCTCTACATCTTTAATTTGCTTCCACTGTGTGCACTCATCAACCCTAACATGTACACTATAAACAGAAGGTTTTTATGGAGAAAATTGTACTATTACCTTTATTTAAAACTCATGACCCATTTGATTATACTCCTAACAACATTTTAACCCTATTTTAAGTGTATTATATCATGTGAGGTCCACTTTTCTTAAATACCGTGATAAAGTGTGTGTTGCAATTTTAAAGAAACGGAGAAAGTATGAACGTTAACACAAGAACTATACTGTTGGTGGACCAAGTCCAAACACTTGTCTTTTGGTCAAATAAAAAAGGACAAGTAACAAAGAAGTTGTTGTGCAGCAGGGAGCCCAACATAAAAATAACAAGTAGGGTCAGAATCCAAGCACAGATAAATCTACTAATAAATTTGATCAGACATGCCACTACATGAATCAAACCATCAGGCATATACATAATAAACATTCAAAGACAACTCTATCAATGAAATATATAACTCTACCAATAAGATACAACAACAAATATTAAGCATGTGAGTGTAGGGGAGATAAAATGCTGATGTCAAACCTTTTGCCGAAATTGCACCTCCAGTCACACATCCAGCGACCACTGTATTTGTGGTGTCATGTTTCGCTCGATACTTCAATCAAAGCAATAATTAGTCCCTAATACATCGGCATGTAAAAGTCACTCATGAACATTCTCGGATAAGAAAGTACCTTCTCAACAACACATTCCGCAGCTGAGAAAACACAACCCATCAATGCAAATGTCTTGCAATTACCCCAGCTCCTCTGACCCATCTGGTTTGCTGTATAAGCAATTTGTTGCCTAGTTGTCATTGTATCTTGCATGATGGGATTTTCCAATGCCGCAAAAAATATCCCCATCATCACCCCAAGCCCACCTCCTACAAAATTTCCCAAAGGAGCAGCGACACCATCAAGATTCAAGAGAGCTTAAGTCTAAAGTGGTATAAAGCTACATATAGCACCACATACTTATAACTACAAAACTATTGACTAAATACATAAACTAAAGGAAAGCAGAATGTTGTTCACTATCATTTTTCTCATAGATTACATTTCAAATAACCACTTAAATACCATTTCTGTCATTTTGGATTTGAGACATTGAGATAATATACTAGTACTTATATCAGATGGGAATGATAACAAAATCAGTGTTCTTTCACAAACTAATGTCCTACCTAGAATGCTTCTAAGCATATCCTAAGTAACACATTGTCATTAACATTTACTACAACTCTTCAGATTTAGGCGTCAAATTATGCATTCAAATTACACTAGCATACTGCCAACTATTTCTATACGTAGGAAGTACGCATTTGTTTCCACTCATCTACCACATTATTTCATGGTAACAAAATCACGTCCATCTAATCATTTTCACTATACCACATACTCTATAACTCATATAATTATGATCTACAAAATTAGCCATTTGAACAAACATACATTACCATTACCATTTAGAACAATAATTATAGCTCCTGTCAAAACGAAACATGAGAATGTGGTTCAGGAATTTCATCATACACCTGGTGTGCACTACCATTAAAAACCCAAAGAACTTAACTTTCCAAAAAATTACGGATCAAATACTAAAAGCAAAAAAAAAAAAACAATCACAGAATCCCAAAATGCCATAAAATCTAAATATTATGAACAAAAATGAAAGATATGAAATTTAAGAATTATACCCATTACACCACTGACGACACTGCGAACAGCGCAGTTATTCCAGATATCTTGGCCATGAATTTCTTCAGCGGTTGGAAGGTGAAAGCTTTCTATTTGGGGTTTTTGTACTGGTGGTGCTCCATTTGGAGCGTTTGTAGATTCAGCTTCCGAGTTGCTACTCATTGATACTTCGATTTCACTCAACTCAGTTCCGAGTCAACTCAAGAATCATGGAATTCCAGAAGAAGAGGGCTAATGTAATTCCCTTCTTTTAGTCACTTTCTTCTTGAATTGTTACTCGGTAATGGAAGTATGATGAAGATGGTGCTGCCTGCGCAGAGAACGAGCGTATTTCAGGAAAATGTATTTCTTGCAAAAAAAGAGAAGGGGAGAGCACGAGATTAGCCGACTACCTTTCAGGTTTCAAACGGGCTTGGGTAGATATTCGGACTGACCCGACATGAATTACCCAACACCAAATTATTTATTTATTTATTTTTAGTAACAACACTAAATTATTTTTATTGAATTTAAATTAATATTTTGCTGAATGAAGTATAAATTAATTTAACTGAAATTGAAATTATTTTTACTAAATATTAAAGTATTCTCTTAAAATAAAGTGAACGGTCTATATTGAAATAGAGTATGTCTAGAGTAATATGGCTTTATGTTTGACCAGATGATAGCTTCATCACATCAGTAGTAGATACAGTATTAAGATATGGAAGTACGAAATTAAGCGTAATTAAAAAATACTACAAAATAATGTGGAGTATTATCATTTTTTTTAATGCAAAGTCGGGGGCAGGAAAATTAGATTAGAACAAGTTCAAAAGAACAAAAGAGTTAGGGAGGTTTATCCTCCAGTATTACATCCTGTATGTAGTTAGGTGGTTCAGTTAAAATTACTACCAAAATATCCCGATTCGGAGACTTCCTACAATGTTTAGCCAAGTAGTCAGCTACTGTGTTAAAGTTCTTGCCTTCATGGTAGAGCTTGGCTGTTTGCAATTTTTTAAGCCGGTCCCTGCAAGTGTCCAGAATAATCAAGTTAGCATCCTTCACCACCATAGCACCGTGGATGAGATCCACCACCTGCTTTGAGTCCGAGCATACTTCCAACTCCCCCATGACAGCAGATTTTACACGATATTTTTGCTGGAAACTAAGCGCCCATGAGCCTGCAAAATCACGAAATACACCTGCCACACCAGCCCATTCCCCTTTCGAAGAGAAAGAAACATCACAGTTCAGTTTGAAGTTAGGTTGTAAGGGTGGAGTCTAGCCAGAAACGGTGGGAATGGTAGTGTTTATACCCGAAGAAATCTTCAGAAGGGTATGGAATTCCCAAGCTAAAGCTTGGGCCTCTCTAAGGGACTATTCTAGGGGTTGGTTTGATTGGTTGAAAATGCAGTCATTACTCTTGAGCCATAGTTTCCAGAGAATGAATGAGAATATGGTTTGCCAAGGAAGGTAAATTTCAGATGAGGGTGGAGGGTTATGAGCAAGGTTGGTGACCAACCATTCCTGGAGAGGTTGGGAATAAAAGGTGGGTGGCATATGGAGCAGATCCCAAACTCCTCTAGCTTGTTCACAATCCCTAAGAATATGGAGTGAATTCACAGCTTTGTTGAAATCAAATTTCCCTTTTGAAGTTAGAGTAGAGAAAATAAAATCTTGACACTCTTGGCCTGTATTGGGGATAGGAACACTCACACAAGCGTTAATAATATCCTCCAGGAGATCAAAAGAAATGTTAGAAAAAATCCACTAAAAATTCGAGATGCACTCTTCAAGCATGGTTTCCTCTTCCCCTCTTTGAAGGGGACCCTGAATAAGACTCCTAAAAGACCCCGACCCTTTCCAATTGTCAGACCAGACAAAAATATCCATACCATTCCCAACACCCCACTAAATACAAGTCTTAAAAAGCTCCCAAACCTTTCCCATACTCCTCCAGAGATGAGACCCAGCAGAAAAGGCACGAAATTGGTTGCTAGGTTTGGAATATTTGTCCTTCAAGATTTGGACAACAAGGTTACTCTCCTGATTAAGCATTCTCCACCATAGTTTCAGCATGTGAGCTTTGTTCAAGGCTTTGGAGTATTATCATTTTTTGCAAACCAAAATTTGAGTTATTAATTCATTTACTATGGTACTAGTCTTTGCATGTATGATGCACCCATCCTTCAACAACAAGGTGTATAAATGAGTAGCTAAATTTGTGCATAAAAAAAATGAACAATCTAAGGGACTGATCTCTTTCAAGAAAGTAATAGTACCTAAGAGACTTGTCAATTGTCATATGCTACAACCAGTCTCTTTATTATCAGTTTTTTTTTTTTTTTTTTTTTGGGGGGGGGGGGGTGTTTAAATAGGAGTATAATTGTACCTTTATGCTAGATCCCCACTCCTGCGTTATGAAATTCACACCCCAAGGCCTAAGCATACTTGCTCAACTACCAGAAATTATCAGTTGATGACTCTTGGGCCTTGGTCCTCATTTTATTTAGTCATTTGACTCATTTCTGCTTCATGTTACATATGAGATTTGATGGACTTATTCAAACAAGGCCCAAAATAGAAAATTGATACCTAAACAATAATTGGTATGAAACAGCTTAATGTTACAAATTAATCGTAATAAGATGATATTATTGCTAGTCCAATCAGTAATCAGTTCACAATACAGCTTAAAGTTATATCAATTATTGAAGACGACAAAATGAATAAATGATCATGATGAAAACTTGAACTTAATTCCATTTATGCACTAATGCAGCCTATATAGACTAACACGTCTTTATAATCTTATATACAGCTGTATTAGAATACAAGTCTACTGCATATACACGTGAATTTAATTTTTTTTTTTTTTTTTTTTTTTTTTTTTTTTTTTTTTGAAGAAACACGTGAAGCAACATAGTTTTACCCAGTCTAGCCCACTCAAATGGAATTAACCTGTGTAATATTCTGACCTTGTATGTAGGACAAATATTCATTGAAAATTCTAGTATAGAAAAGAGATGATTTCCCACCTAAATAAATCTCAATTAAATTACACTAGAATGAAATGATCTAAACTCCATACACACCTTTCCATTCCAAGTAGCCAACTAAACATACTTACTTTCTCCAGCCATCGGCGCCACCCTATTATCGAATCGATTCACTCTTGACTTAATCGAGATTGGGTTGGTTCATTATTAATGGAGGAAACAGTAGCAAACAAACGGTGTCACGTGGTGGCGATGCCATACCCTGGGAGAGGGCACATAAACCCCATGTTAAACCTCTGCAAACTCATCTTGTCAAAATCCAATGATATCTTCATCACTTTTGTAGTCACTGAAGAGTGGCTTGGCTTCCTCAGCTCCGAGTTCCAGCAGCAGCCACTTGCTAACTTCCGGTTTGCTGCACTTCCACAGGTGATCCCCTCAGAAGCTGGCCGAGGTGCTGATGTACTAGGGTTCATAGAAGCTGTACTCACCAAGCTTCAGGACCCCTTCGAGCAGCTACTTGATCGGCTTGAGCTGACTCCAACTGCCATAATCTACGACGTAATCATGAGTTGGGTCATCAGAGTTGGGAACCAAAGGAATGTACCAGTAGCGTCATTAGTTACTGTATCAGCTTCATTTTTTACTGTTCTCTCTCACTTGGACTTGTTGGTCCAACATGGTCATATCCCTGATGCTGATATCTCAGGTATAATACTCAACTTAGGCTATGTTTAAATTGCTTGACTTAATAAGAATTTTCTTATTTGATCTAATTTGATCTGATATAATTTACAAATTTGAGTTTAACACATTATTACTTAAGACAAACAATTAGCAAATGAAATGCCTTTGGGTTCATAATAATGTAATATGATCAGATTTAATTTGGTCTAATCTTATAATTTCATTTTTGAAATAAACAAATATTTGGTTAAATAATTTGAGTTAAACAAAGCCTTAATATTACCAATATTATTCAATGTATACTAATATTAGTGCAAACAAAATGTACACAAAAGTTTTGTTGAATTAGAAGTCTAACATTTCCATTTTGGGTGCCAGAGAGAGGAAATGAGGTAGTGGATTATATTCCGGGACTTCCCTCAGTAACTCTTGCGGACTTACCAGCATCATTTCAAGGAGACGCTGGAAGGAAGGTGAAACAACAAATGTTGGAAAAAGATTTTCCGATGAACAATGCTCAATACCTTTTGTCTACATCTATCTATGAGTTTGAAGAGCAAGCGATAAATAGCCTGAAAGTAAGATATCCATCCATATCACTCTACCACATTGGTCCAATGATACCGTACTCGAGCCTGGGTAATAAAACAGATGAAACCAGCTCTTATGAAGATGAAAGGCTTGACTACTTCCGGTGGCTGGATTCTCAACCAAGAGGCTCAGTATTGTATATATCGCAAGGAAGTTTTCTTTCGATTTCAAGTGGTCAAAGCCAAGAGATAATTGCTGGGATTAAAGAAAGTGGTGTTCGATTCCTGTGGGTAATACGAGGTGATAACGATACCTCAAGCTTCAAAGATGACATTAGTGATCAAATGGGATTCTTAGTGCCATGGTGTGATCAATTAAGGGTGTTGTGTCATCCTTCTATTGGTGGATTTTGGACGCATTGTGGGTGGAACTCTACTTCGGAAGGTATATATGCTGGTGTTCCAATGCTTACTTGTCCTATAGCTTGGGATCAACTCCTTAATAGCAAGATGATAGTAAATGATATGGAGATTGGGTGGAGTGTGATAAAGAATGATCATCTTCAGAAGGGAGGGTTAGTCACTCGACATGAAATAGCCAAACTTGTAAGAGAATTTATGGACCCGGAAAATGACAAGCGAAAAGAGATGATTAATAGAGCAAAAGAGCTACAAAATACCTTCACAAATGCAATAGTAAATGGAGGTTCTGCTACATCTGATCTTGAGGCTTTCATCAATAGCCTCCCAAGTAAAAGTAGAACGTTAAAAGCATTTTCCTAAGAATGTAAATAATGATTCAAATTTTCAATAATAATTTTATAAGAAAAGCTTTGTACTTCCGAATACTCAATAGCTAGCTGGTTAATAAGTCAATATGTTCAAAGAAAGTTGTTGATGTACTACGGAGTATCATATTTTGAGAAATGATGAGTTGTGTACAAGGTTGCATATGTATGATTATGTTTTGAAATTTGATCGTAGTTCCTCAGATTTTTTTAAGCTTAGTATGAAAGCATAGTCTCATCACGGAAAAAGGTCATTTGCACCTACTTGAGCATCTAAGCTCCTCCAGACCCCATACAAGCACAATGAAGTACTAGTCTGGCATAGAAATAGGTCGTAAGATGTGCATGCGATATACTTTCCTTAGGTACATAACTTTTCATGTAAACTTTGCATTAAACTTAGTGTTGAGATGATCTTGAGACCTTTTACACATTTCCAGTTATATTTGCGAGGTGAGCACTGAAAGATATTCCAATATCCTAGGCATACAAAGTTGCTACACATTTAAAATTTACCTGCAGATTAAGGAATCAGTCATCTGAGCTATAATCACTAGATTCGGCCAAGATGGGAAGAGCAGCACAGCAGAACGACTCCTTGTCTTTGAGAAGTAAATAACTTCCATCTGAATTCCACTTCAAATCAACTACAGTGAAATGTGGCAGAGGATTGCTTACACAATATGCACCAGAAGGGGTCCAGATGTACAAATGTGAGCTTCCTGTACAAAATGCAAGGCGGCAAGATGTTGGGTTCCAAACTGCAGCTTTGATGGGCTCCTTTTGCAGCAATATAGCAGCCAGTTGAAGTTGTTGCATATCCCATATCCAGAGAGTAGTTGGAATGGTGTCATCACGTGTATAAATATATTGGCTATCGCTGCTCCAAGCCATAAGGCCTGCAACAAGATTGATAATGTGAAATATTTACCACACTGAAATCCAGTCAATCTTGATAAAGGTCTTTTCCTTTATTGAAGCTTTGAGTGCTAAGAAAATTAATGGTCATTCATATTACTATACTCCAATGAATTTCTTTGAACAATTTTTATATGTGTCGTCCTCAAACAATATAAGGAATCTATTCCAGATCCCTGTAAATGTAAGTCTATTTATGCCATGTACAAAAGGCCAAAAAATGTTCACAAAACACAAATGATAGTTCTAATGAATTCACATACAATAAATGAAATCGATATAAAGTCAACAATTGATAATGATGAACAATTGAACTTTATAGACCTAAAATCACCGAGTTCTCTGTAGGTATTAATGAAGTGGAAATAAAGACAAGCTAGGAAACAATAGATTTCTTAGTGTTGCTGAGTATGTTGACTAATTGGATGATGGGTTGGTAGACTTAGAACTATTTTAATTATTTTAAGTATACAGAAAATTGTATGTACTTCAATATATTTGATTGGTACAGAATGGTGAACAAGTGAATCAGGTTAAACTATTAACCCAAATATGCCTCATAAAATCAAAATGTATACATGAAGGAATGTCAGCCATCAGAAAACCCGAAGCATGCCTCATTAATTTTTCTGTTACTTCTTCCGTAGAAAATTGCAAATAAATAAATATTCAGTACGGTTATATAGAATAAAACAGAAAAAAATAAGCTTACCAATGCCTTGTTTTGGGTTTGGTTTGTCCATAGCAGGCTTCTGGAACGGCAAAGTAATTGGTAAATCTGCTACTTCATACCTAACTCCTATTTGTCTTTCTGAAACATCTGCTTCAAAAAACAAAAAGGCTAGTCACTAGAAGAAATGACAACCCCATGCTAAAGCTTAAAACCAAATAAGCTCCAACCTAAACTCTTAAAATGCTTTTTCCAAGATAAGGAAGTTTTCATGGCATTGGATAGAAAATCTCAATATCATGATTAACAATTTGTAGGGTGGGTCACATCTCATATGCAAGCAGAGATCTACCAATGAAGTGCCTAGAAGACGTTTACCCTACAACTACAAAAATAACTTAAAATAAAACCAAGGTAAAAGCTAACACTTAACATTCAACTTTAAGATTTAATTTGAACTCTGAAACCTTTCCAAAGGAGAATTAATTTCAATAATAGTGTATGTCAGAACTACACTTCAGTGCCCCCGCAGCAATGAGAAACATAGATTGGGCTGAAAACTACGAACTTGCTCAAAAGTTCTAAAGCCCAAAAAGACGAGAAAGACAAGAAAAAGGAAAGGTATGTGGAAGAGAAGAAAGTGGGTGTTGAATTCCTGTTGTTATCTGCTAACACTTTTAGATATTGAGTGTCACATATTCGAAATCATTTCTGAAGATATTTGGGACAATAGGCTACTACACCACAACAGGCAGTTGAAAAATAATCCATGGCTTATAGGCTATATCAAGTTGACATGTCTAGTATATTTACTCAACAGGCTCTTCTGAAGTCCTTTTGAGTGTTCTCTAAGAAGAAATGTAAGATGTCTTACAAACATAGCTCAGAATGAGAAAGCTAACTTACCAAAATTGCTGTCATAAGGATCACTACTCAAACACAACCCAGCAATATCGAGCTGAGGCTGCTCATCTTCCTCCTGAAAATGACGTTTACAGAGACACAGATTAAAAAAATTAAACAGTATCCAATGGCGTAATCATCCAAACAGCTCAAGTTAGGAATTGAAAAGAGAAGGTTAAAAAAGTAACCTTAAAGACGACTGCACAAGAGGAACCACGAACATTAGGCAAATGCATAAATTCAGCAAAAATTTTCCATGTAAGACGATTGACAACACGCAGCATCTGATCATAGCTTCCAATAGCGAGAAATTGACCGCAAGGAGACCATGAAACACTCTTGACACCCAAACCACTTTCATATGCCTGGTACTTCAATAAACATCGTCCATCAGGTGTGTATATCAGGAACTGTACAAAGTGATTTCCATAAGAATGAACTCGATACAAAAAAAAAAAGTGGATAATTTGACATGGCTTATAATCATCAATAAGGGAATAACTGTATGCACGTACCTTGTATTCAAGAAGTGAATCCCAGACAACAATAGAACTATCATCAGGTGACCACTCAACATCAGCCAAATCCAGTGTGTCAACAGCAAAAACACCCATTATCTCCCATGAATCACAAGACAACAGATTAACGTAATCCTTGCAATCACGTCTTGTGCAAACTGCAGCAAACTTGCCATCTCGGGTAAATGAAACCCCTTTGACAGGATGCTTTGGCCATCTTACATGTACACAAGCAGTGTTCAACAGTGACCAAACTGAACCTCAATTGGAAGTCTGAAGTAGTGAGTATGTGACGACTGTCAGGACTCCACCTAGCATAGGCAATACCAGCTAAACCTTCATCTATTTTACATGTCCATTCAGGTTGAGTTATTGACCATACTTGTATTGTCGGTCTCTTATAGAGACCACATAATATGTATTCAGAATCAAGAGCCCACTGAATGTAGCTTATCTTATCTAAGCATGAAAATAATTGCACCACCTGTACACAAAAGAGTGATACACATTCCGTTTTTAGTAGAGAGCAGAAAATATGAGAAACAAATTAGATTCGATGTATGTGCAAACAGTTTGAGGAAACGAGGAACCAATATACATGTCTAAACATTAGTATGTAGAATTGTAGAAAAGAAAAAATAGCAATTTGACAGTACTAGCACCTTAAAAGACTGAGTGTCACGGATCACCAGACGATAATCAACTGCAGCAGCAATGTAGCGAGCATTGGGAGAAAAACAGCACGGACCTGTCTGCTTATACGAATCAGTGAACTCCATTTTCCTGGAAATTCAATCACAATTTGCAAGCAAATATACCCTGTAAGACTCTCGAATCCCAAAGCTCAGCTAAAATTATCAAGTATCAACTATCCATATAAACAGATTTGAGAAGAAACACCTCCCTTAAACTCAAAGAGCATAAGATCCAGTAGCCAGTATATATATAGGTTAAAAGGCCACGTCAAAGATTGCCTCTTTAAATAGAACACCATGTGAGTAATAAAAATTACATCTTGCCTAGGTCTCCCACAGTTTACTTTCAAACTTTTGCTTAAAAAAAAATACTTACTAATAAAATTCCAATTCTTCTACTTGTGCTAATGGATCTATTTTCTTTGCCTCTTTAAGTCATCTTCTGAACAAATCCAATGGTAATTCACAGCGGCATCTTAACTTGTTGTGAAAGGTCCAACAGAATAATATATGGCAACATACTCAATACACCTTGAACAAATGCAAATAAGTAAAGAGTCCAAGGCCACATTATATTATGAGTGTTCAATACCCATGATATAAGCATAGCCACTTCATGTGCAAGGAACCACCAAAAGCGCCGTGTAGAAGAGGTCCAGGATATAAGGTGGAGAAGCCAATATTCTTAAGGTGACGAAACATGACTTAAAAACACAAACCATGGTACAAGATCAGATGTTGTAAGGGGATCGTTTAAACTCATCAAAACAAACAATATTCTTACTATTTCAAGCTTTAACTGCATTCCTTATAACCAACTAAATGCGCCCCACTTTCCACTTCATCTAGTCTAAGGAAAGCAATTAGTCAGGATTCACTTTTAATTTGTTTCCAATGCAACAAGTTTAGTTCAGATTTCAAAGATCATTCTCTATTCTTTTAGCGTAACATCGGAACAAAGTTACACATTCTTTACTATTGTTGGCCCCCATCAGGCATCATGACATATATAGTGAAAATTACAATGTTCAGACTTCAGAGATCACTGTGTTCGAACCAGCAAGTACACATCGAGGTGGCAAACTGCAGATTATAGCAAATTAACTACATTTTCTAACCTACAACAAGGCAAATTATAACCAAGAAACTCATGAAATAACGATCTAACTATCTTAAAACCAACACGGAATTGCAGCAAAATTTACAAGAACAACTCTATATTTACACCTAAATCTCACTACACGTTGACCTAAAATCTAACCCCCATTATACAATACATTCTGCTTTTTACCTAAATTAGTGTTACCACATTATAATTCTAAACGATTACTACTGATTTCATCTTACATTATCAATAATACATCATTCTACACAAATCCACAATCGAGTTTTCAAATTCCCAATTCAAGCTAACAAGCAAAAACAAATTCAAAAAAGAAATGTGATAGGAAATCAATTTCAATTTGCAGAAGTAGTTATGAGCTTAAAACTCGGATCCGATGAATAACAACCAAATTGAATCAAATATTGGTATGAAGATAAAACCCTAACCTGTGCAATGCCGAAACCGAAACCAACACCAACAAAGTAGCGTTGAGGTGTTTGGAGGATTAACCGGTTATCCGGAGTTTGCGACGGAATTTCGCCAGTGATGGATGTCTGAATTTTACAGAAATGATAGTGTGAAGATGGAGTGTGGTGAACTGAGCTTGGGCGGGTTGGGTTGGATTGGGGGAGTTTTGAACTTAAGTTAAAACTTAAAACCGCTATTTACATTTTTTTTTTTTAGTGATAGAGTAGTTTACAACCAAAGTACAGTAGCTTTTTCTTTTACTTATCTCAATTATAAACAAATTCAAATACAAGTAGCATTTTCGTAAATAAATACTCCGTATTAATCAAAATTAGCTTTCTAGTCTGTGCAATGCATGGATTTTTCATAAAAAATTGTATTGAAAGATGAGTGAGGAAATACCAATTAATCATTATGCATGTAATGTGTAACCGAAAACATAATTAGAGAAATTAAAATTTTGAGACTTTAATACAAAATGAGGATTGAAAAAAAGGTGGAAGGACTAAAATTAAAGAGAGAAAAGAAAAGGCAAGGTTGAATTGAAAAGGGGAGATGAAGATAAAGTGTTTGATGAATTAAAGAGTTAAGAAATAGTGTGATAAAAAAAAATTAAAAAAAGGTAAGATGACATGTGGCACATTGGGTTGGAAAAGAAGATAGGGAACTGTAATAGAATGGGGACATGTGTTTTTCTTGGTTTGAGTTTTAAAATACTAATATTAAGTTTAGATATTACTTTGTATTTATTTGATAAATAAATTACATTATAAGAAACTATTATTCGATAAACAAAATTTGTTTACACAAGGGTTTGTGAAATACCTTAGTATCACTCTTGCTTATACTACAATAGTGAATTAGAAGGGCAAGAAAATGATTTACCCCATCATATTATATTACAATTAGATAACTTTCTAAATCAAAATACTCCGTAATTTCATAAATTAATCTGATATGTTCAATGAGATTTAAGATATGTTTATTTATATATGAATCCTGGCCTCTCAACCTGTTCTTGTGTGGAATTTATTTTTTTATTTTAAAAAAAAAATAATCTTAAAGAGCACTACCATCAATAACTTAATACTAAAAGCAAAACAAGTGATACATATGTCATCCACTAGTTGAAAATTTTCCCTCCAATTTTCCTTTCCTCCCTCCAATTTTTCTTTCCTTTTTTTTCCCTATCAATACTTTATGAAAGATATATAAACCCTTTAATATTCTCCTTCCATTTTGGCGATTATATATATTTTTTTTCATACACACTCAAATGGAATATTTTATATTAAGTAATTTTTGTTATAAAAATGAGCATAAATGTTATGCCGTATAAAAACAATAACATAAATAAGTAGTATATTAAAATACTATTATTATTATTATTATTATTATTATCACCTTACTTCTAAATTATAATTAAAACCTACGTACTACTCACTCATATTTAAAAATTGATTCTATATATAGTAGAAAAATAAAATAAAAGTTAATTAAATTTGCATAAACCAATGTGTGGTGTATGTCAAATTTGGTCAACAAAATAGGGACATGATAGTGTATATAGCATGGTTTTAAATAATCAATAATCACTTATTTTCCTTCACATTTATAAAGTCTAACACATCACTAGCCTTTACATCATTGCATGTCAAATATAGATAATTAAAAAACTTAATTTATTCTACTTAAATGTGATTCTTTTTTAGCATATAATGGCTAAATTAATGTTGTAGTTCACTTATATAATTTAGTAAACCGTGCATTGCACAGGACTTTAACTAGTACTTTTTTTTTTTTTGTGTTACCTATACACTGGATTTGTCTTGAATATTCCTATGAATAAAAACAATAGGGGTGTATGTTTGGTGTTCGGTTTGACAATAGGGATGTATGTTTGGCGTTTGGTTTGAATTTAGGCTAAATTCAATCCACTCTAAATTAAAAATCATTTTGAAAAGTTGAGTTTAATCCAAATTAGATTTCGTTTATTTGAATTCTATCCGATTAAGATTTCAGTGATTTATTAAAGGCAAAACTGGTCTCAGTAGCACCAACTATAGCGTGGGTGTACCAACAACACAACCTTAAGCGGGTGCAACTCACGTTGTAAACTATGACCTTGGGTGTAGTCCACAACCCAAATTGTAGATTTGTTGTAATAATTATGGATGAAATGACATAATCTACTACTTCATATGTAGTATTTTTTATTTCATATATGATGTTTTATGTCATTTTCATGAATTATATGGATTTCGGTGCGAGAAATAACATAGATTAGAGGATATAGTCATGTATTATTTTTCAACTCTAATGTCATTTATGTCATTTCATGTACCTAAACTTATAGTTCATGGTATTAAGGTGACTTTTGCCAAAACTGCTAATGCTAAAATGCTTGAGCACCTACCGGGGTAAAGTAAGACAAAGTGTGATAAAATTCAAAAACAATCGGACCAAAGTCACACGGTCACTCCCACACCTTTAGCATTAAAAAATCACACACAAAAAAAGCTCACACCTCTTTTAAATAAAAAACCCCAGCCAAAATTCCAAAACGAATGAATACATCAGTGGTAAATTAATCCACTGTTTCTCTCTATGGCTCTACTTCATTACAACCAGAATTACCTGGGTTTTGTGGCAAAACTGCTACTAATAGCAACACTCGCCGTTGGAGTAGAAGCCATTGGAGTGAATTGGGGAAGAAATGCATCACACCCACTTCCACCTACAAAAGTTGTGCAACTTCTTAAATATAACAATATCACCAAAGTTAGGCTATTTGAAGCTGACCCTTTTGTTCTTCAAGCTCTTCAAGGTTCCAAAATAGAGGTCATTTTGGGTATTCCAAATTCAATGTTACCCAGGTTAAATTCTTCTTTGAAGGTTGCTCAGAGTTGGGTACATGATAATCTTACTCGTTTTCTATCTGATTCTTCCCCTAAAGTTCGAATTCAGTATGTTCTTTCTTGCTTTATTTTCCGTTTTGGGTTTTTGTTGTTGCAAATTTGAGATTTTTGTTGCTTAATTGAAGAAATAATTAATGGGTTTTGATAATTTATGTGAATTTGTGTTTTGTCAATGTTCTGTATCTTGTTAGTTTTTGATTCTAAGTGTTGTATATTGCTCAGTATTTTATGCATAATTTGTTGATATCATGTTCAGTTTGGGCGGGAGATGAGCTTAGAATTGGCGAAAAAATGGGATTGATCTGAAGTAATGCAAAATGCAATAGTAGTGTTTTGAGTGTGTGACAGCTAGATGGCATTGCAAACCACTTAATTAGATAGATACTCAGATGAATTATTAATTAATAATTGTAGGACTAAGTAATGTGGTATTTTTCTTTCCTGTTTAGACGCGTTTTTTTTTTTTTATTTTTTTATTATTGGGTACAAGTGTGAGTATGTTGTGGACTTGTTGTACATTGTAAGGTTGGTTTCAGGATGGAACCTCGTTTTGCCTATGCGGGTTGTCTCTCATCCTTGTTTGTCCTTCATTTCTAGCATTGATATAAGGCACATAGTAATGGCGTGTTGTAGTGATGATATAGTGTTAACTGTAATTTAAGACATGTTTCAACTTGGTTGGCGTGCATTCTTCCAACCACATATAATGCTTCATGAGTCATGACTCCCCCACCTATTGTTCCTTTAAAAATGGAGAAGCATTGCTATGGTTTGGAATGGTAATTATATCACGTGTGACAGTGTCACGGTGTGTGTGAATTTGTTGCAACTACGATGTTGGTTTTTATTGGTTTAATCACGTACCCATGTGCATTAATAGTGCCTCATAGATTGCTATAAATGTCTTTTCTTTGTAGCCCGTGCCATAACCATGGCCACACTCTAACTAATTACTTGGCTGATAAAAGAAGTGTGGACGATTGGGCACCGTGTTTTCTCAATTTGTGATCACTAGACTTGTGATGTTGAATTATGATGACACAAGTTGTGTTAATATAAATGCTACTTGAATAAAATCTATCCAGACTCCAGAGTCTCAAATGATGGCATACTTTGTAAGGGCACCATTCTGTTTACCCTTACCCTCTAATGATTGTACTGCCTCAGCTGGGTTGAGGGTATAGGGCACGGATTGGGTTCAGACTTCAGATATAGTCTCACCCTCATCTGCAAAGACTCATAGAGGTTTCTGTTTGACCCTATAAAACATACAAGTTACCTACTGAACTAGTGCAGAGTGCTCAACTCTGTCCCAAAAAAGAATAAATTTGTGCTTGAATAGCGAATACAGTCTTTTTGTACTTGTCTAAACTGAAATTACCATGCATCATGCAAGGGAAGAAGGCAGGAATACATATGGTGTTTGCTTTTAAGATCATTCATTGTTCACTTTGTAAAAGTAGATTACTGTCGGTTTTGCACTTAGCTGGACAATTTTACTAGGAGGAAACATTATTAGGCTTTGCAACTTAATGTTATCGATAAACTTAATAAGACTAGTAGCATTTTAAACTTTAAAGAGAAGTGGATGCTGATACCTGTATCACTGCTAAGACATGTTGATTTCTCAAAATTTTCAATGATGCTTCTCTGTAGGTTCTCTGGCTTAGTTTGTGCTAGATCAAATCGATGTGTACTATGTATCCCCACCAACTGGCTAGCTGCTTAAGATTTTTATAACTCGGAGTGTTATGTTCTTTTTTTTTTTATGTTTCCTCTTTATTTGAGAGAATTGCTGTCCTTATTGACTGATCGCTGACAGGTACATTGCTGTTGGGGACAGTCCATTTCTGCAATCTTATGGTGGGCAGTATGTTCCTTATGTTGTTGGTGCTTCCATGAACATTCAAGCAGCCTTAACTAGGGCAAACATAGCAGACCAGGTAAAGGTGGTCGTTCCATGTAGTTATGATGCCTTTCAAACAGAATCTGGGTTGCCTTCTAAGGGGCACTTTAGGCCTGATCTCAACAAGACCATGATCCAGCTGCTTGCGTTTCTCTCTAAGCATAACTCACCATTTATGTCAAGCATATCTCCCTTTCACCTTTTTCAACAGAATAAAAACATCTCCCTTCATTTTTCCCTCTTTAAGGAAACTTCTCACCCTCATAAAGATGGAAAAAAGGTCTATGACAATAGCTTTGACTTGAGCTATGATACTTTGGTAACTGCGATATCAGGTGCTGGCTTTCCCCAAATGGATATCATCATTGACCAGATCGGATGGCCCACAGATGGAGTGGTTAATTCCAATTCCTCCACAGCTGAATCATTCATGAAAGGCTTGTTGAGCCATCTTCGTAAGAAGTCAGGGACTCCATTGAGGCCCCATAAACCACCAAAAGAAGCATACATTCTCAGTCTCTTAGACGAGGATCAAAAAAGCATTGTTGATGGTGGTTTTGAGAGACACTGGGGAATTTTTACTTTTGACGGACAAGCTAAATACAGCGTTGATTTTGGCCAAGGCTCAAGAAGCCTCGTAAATGCTCAAAATGTGGAGTATCTCTCTGCCAAATGGTGTGTTGTGAATGACAACAAAGATCTTAGCAACGTTACGGCAAGTGCCTTAGATGCATGTTCCAATGCAGATTGCAGTGCCCTCTCTCCTGGGGGCTCGTGTTATAATCTTACTTGGCCTGGGAACATTTCTTATGCTTTCAATAGCTATTATCAGCAGCATGATCAAAGCCCTGATGGGTGTGAATTTGGAGGGTTAGGTTTGGTTACTACTGTTGATCCATCTGTAGATAATTGTAGATTTTCTGTTCAACTCCAGACTGCATACGGAGGTTTTCTTCAAGTGCCTTCGTCAATGTACTTGATTCTTTTGTACACGGCAGGATTTCTGATATAATTATGTAGCTCCACAACTCAGAACTATGGCAAGCAGCAATTTTCATCTGTTTCTATGTAGCTGCGTCCTAGAGATTTTGTTAAAGGAGAGCAAGCTTAAAATGACTGTTTAGGCTTCCCCTTTCCTTTGCTGTTTAGGCTGGGTTAATTTATCTGAGTTGGTTGCTTGATTTTTTGTCCAAGTTTAGAATGACTGTTGTACATGGTTATTTCTGATTTCTTTCACCCTGTAAAAATCACAGCAGTGCTGAACATGATGAAAGGAGGACTTCATTGGATCTTGACAATATGCGTTCTTCCAGTATTATTCTCAAGCTTTGATAGTTAGCTTTTTCATGAATAGCTTTTTCTCCATTTTCTATGAACATGTGGACAGGGGAGGGGGAGGACCTATGTTACTCTGAATTGGTGGACATGGCTACGTGTCTAAGACTAAGTGGTAAATTTGACTATTTAGTGAAAATTTTACATGATACTGACCCAAAATGAAGTGTTACAATGTCTTACCCATATCTAAATGTTAAAATCTGACAAGTGAAATAAAAAGTCTTGTAATATAAGAGAGAACAACATGCTATAAATCTTTGAGAATAGCAAAACATATTGCAAATAAAGTTTCACCTCTAAGATTGTCTCACTACAGTTTCATACATTAGAATTACGATTGACTTTAACAAAAGCAAAATTATACATATATAATAGTGTTGTAACTTTCACTTCATAATTCATTATTCGTTAATTAAAATCATTATTTTTTAACTTTATTTTTAATTTTTACGGAGTACGTATCTATTGAAATTTGGCTAATGTTTAAAAAATTGTTGAAAATGAGTAGACTTTAAAAACTCGTTCTTGTTTTGTAAAAAAAAAAAAAAAAAAAAAAAAAAAAAAAAAAAAAAAAAAAACCAAGGGTGTATTTGTGATTTTGTGGACAGAAAGGCATTTGATGAAAAATGAAAATGGAAAATTCAAGAACATAAAGACCAAAAATATCTGTAGAATTCTCTTAACTTGGCTGGTCTAAACTGGAAATTATGTTTAAACCCAAAAAAACGCTGACTCGACTCATTTATATTTCTCTCTTACCCTAGAACTAGAACACCCTATAATCGCCTCCTTCTCCAACTGTTACCAATTTTCCGCTTCTTTTCTCTCTCTCTCTATCTTCTCCCTAATTCTCTCTCTCTAGTTTCTATTCTAACTAAACCCTAGATCTCGTCTCACGATGTACGGCGGTGGCGGTGAATCCAATCCTCCTCAAGGAGGAAGCGGATACGGCGGTGGTTATGGCGGCGGAAGCTATGGAGGCGGTGACAGAGGTAGCGGATATGGCGGTGATAGAGGTGGTGGATATGGCGGTGGTGGTGGTGGTGGTGGAGGAGGAGGAGGAGGAGGTTATGGTGGCGGTGGTAGAGGTGGTGGTGGTGGTGGATATGGCGGTAATTCTGACAGTCGAGGTATTTTACTTGATCTTTCTCATATTCTATTGTTTTTTCGATTATTTTGATTAGGGTTTTTTTAATTTCGTTCGCTAGTTAATTGTCTTGGTTAATGTTGCTGTTCGCTGTTGTAATGTGTGTAATCTTGTGATTGTGTTGTTTGAAGGTGGTGGATATCAAGGAGGAGGAGACCGAGGCAGTCGTGGAGGTGGAAGAGGCGGCGGCGGCGGCGGCGGCGGCCGTGGAGGTAGTGGAAGAGATGGCGATTGGCCTTGTCCTAATCCTGGGTAATTTTTATTTATTTTAATTCTTTTTTTTTTTTTTATTTTGAAATTTGCATCCAAGATATTATTATGCAAATTAGTAATTTCAAGTTGTTAGATGGTAAATTTAGTTATAGGACCTGTAAGAGTGTGAGACTGTAAGTATAATTTGTATTGGTGCAAAAGTTCAATCTTTATTCCGCAATAGTCCAAGTAAAGCTGCTTTGTTTATATGTATATATCTTGAATTTTGTTCTTTTTCTTGTTATTTGATGATACCATGCTTAAGTACTCCAAAGAGTATATACTTTGAGTTGTGGAGGAGTGTTTCATGTTTGGGTGTTTTTGTTGTATTTGATCTTGTTGAAGGTCAATACAAAAACTCTCTTTTTCTGTATTTATTTTGCTGGACTGAGATGATGTTTTAATCTTTGTTTTACAAAAGTTAATTTCGTAATTTTAGAAGTTTAGCAATTGAAACTGAAAATTTGTGTAGTTGCGGGAATTTGAACTTTGCTAGAAGAACTTCTTGTAACAAATGTGGGGAACCTGCTCCTGCGGGTGCTGGAGGTGGTGGTGGTGGTGACTGTAGAGGTGGAGGTGGAGGTGGTGGTGGTGGTGGTGGTGGCTACAATAGAGGAGGCAGTGGAGGATATGGAGGTGATAGAGGGGATAGGGGTAGGGATTATGATGGTGGAAGAGGTGGAGGTAGGGATAACAATTATGAAGGTGGAAGAAGTGGAGGTAGCAGAGGTGGTTCTTATGGTGATGGTCATGGTAGAAATGACAGTGGATATGGCCAGGCTCCCCCAGCTGCACCTTCTTATGGTGGAGCTGTACCGAGCCCTTATGGTGCAAACCCTGTCTATGGGAATGATTCTGCTGTCCCTCCGCCTACAAGTTATACTGGTGGGCCTGGTTCTTATCCTCCATCATATGGAGCACCAGCAGGTGGCTATGGTGGTGATGCTTCTGGAGATTATCGTGGTGCTGGCCGTGGTGGACCCCCTAGTGGTGGGTATGGTGGTGGTCAAAGACAGTCAAGTGGTGGTTATGGTGGCGATGCTCCTACTTCTGCTGAACCTCCTAAAGTGAAACAATGTGATGAAAACTGCGGAGATTCTTGTGACAACTCCAGGATTTATATCTCGAATTTGCCACCGGATGTCGCTATTGAAGAACTTAGAGAACTTTTTGGAAGCATTGGAATTGTAAGATTTGTTACTACTGCTCTCTAAAGTTTAAATGTTCCTTTGCTGGTTTTTTATTTTCTTTTTTTATTCTTAAAATTATCTGGTATTTGCTAGTGTTCTGCTATAGATTAGAGTATTAATTTCTTTCATCCCTCACTTATCTGCTAGACTAAATTTTAACAGTTTCTCATTCTGGTGTTTTTCCCCGCTATTTCTTTTATGTATCAATCATAAATTGTAAGAGCAACTATTCACACAGCCCTTTTTTCTGAAAAATACTTGTTTAACTTTCATCGTTTCCCTAATTTTCTGTTGCAGAATTTTCTCTTGTTGTTTGTACAAGTTTAAGGGTTTTTTTTTTTTTTTTTTTTTTTTTTTTTTTTTTTTTTTTTTCCCAAACATAATCTTTAGTTTCAGGATGAAGTGTTTTTCAATGTTAATGTTATACATTGTCAATCTTTTTCTGCGGGATCAGTGATAACTATTGGGGGTCAGAATGATGGATTGAATATGATACTGTAAATGTGATGAGTTTTGATGGCCTTTAATATGTTCTTCGCCTCTGGTTTGGATTTCATGTTTATAAGTTCATGTATAAGAGATGGCTGAATAGTAGCATGTGACAGCATGAGCATGATAAATCCAAATTGTTTAGAATTGGTGGTTCTAGTAGTTAACATCTATTTTGGTATTCAGGTTGCAAGAATCAAGCAAAAGAGGGGCTACAAGGATCAGTGGCCGTACAGTATAAAACTATACACAGATGATAGTGGAAAGAACAAGGGTGATGGTGTTTTGTCTTATGAGGACCCATCAGCAGCTCATTCTGCTAGGGGATTTTTTAACGGTATGTTGGGAGCCAATGTCTCATTTAATCTATCATCGAGTTTGATTTGTTAGTTACTTGATATGATTTCTTTTGATGTAGGTTATGATATCAGAGGGCACAAGATAAATGTTACAATGGCAGAGAAGTCTGCTCCGAGGGCACCTCAATCTTTTGGGTATTTTTCTTGCTCAATTTTACCATGCTAATATGCTATTGATGAATTGACCTGTATTTTAAAGCTGGATCCTCTTGTGTTTGCTATTGATTTTTAGTGATTGAAAATTAGGTGGGATTTGAGTCCTCACTTAATCATCATGAACTTAATACGAAGTGTTGTGTTTTGATTGGGTCATCCATTCCCACCTTACATTTTGTTTGTTGGTGCCTGTATGCTTTTGTTATGTTTTTGGGAGCCCCATTGCATTTTGTACAATTTTGTTGAAGATTAGGGGTAACATTTTTTAAATATGTGAGTAGTATTAGCAATACTTTAATTAAGAGGGTGTTTTAAATGTTTATGCATAATGACATTCTTGCTGTTTGCTAGTTACATCATTGTGTTTACAGCCTCTTGATTGGCATGTGTTGAGTTATTCACTCAGTCAAAGGGTGCTTGAAATATGTTTATATTAGTCTTATTCAGAATGTGCTGCCAGAGTGCTAGCATCTTATCATCTTGTGGACGAATATATTTCTTGCGTGTGTTATCAGTTATTGATTCTCTCTCGTTATCGTTTGTAATTTTCTCAATTTTGTGATTTTTCGTATGCTGAAAAAATGTGTCCTTATTGTTATGTTTTCTTCTGTACTATAGAGGCGGTGGTAGAGGTGGTTATGGAGGTGGAGATCGTCGAAGAGACTATGGAGGTCCAGATAGGCATTCTCATGGTGGAAATCGTTCTCGCCCATACTGAGAATTTCTCGAGCATATTATGTACTAAGAAAAAATGTTGTCTTGAGGAATTTTATTGTAGTCTCGCTGCGGGGTTGTTCCCAAAAGGAGATAAAGAGGTAGGTTGTTCACTTGCTTTGAGCAATGCCCCTTTACTCCTTTAGTAGCTTACTTTGAGGGGTTTTTTTCTAGGGTTGGGATTGATTTGAACTGTGTGACTGTCTTTTATAGAGGCAAGTGGATAAATCTCAAAATTGCTGCTATGGTAGTTGAACTTTCAGGTGAGTGCTGCTTTATTGAGACTGCATATCTTTGTTTAGAAAATTTAGCTAGTGGACTTTTAGCTTATAGTGAAGATTTAGATTGCATTTTTGAGTTGAATTTAAGGTTTGTGAGCGCAGTCGTTGATTTTGCTTGGTACGTGGGGAATTTTTTGGTGTCATTGTTAGTTTTATATTTTGCTGGAAACTAATTTCAAGTTTTTGGTAAGATTGATAGGACTAGATAGCAAAATCTTACAGATAACAATTGGAATTGGAAAAAAAATATATTGAACTGAAAGGCTGCAGTGACATTTAGCTGGCCCTTGAATAGTATTTGTTGGTTATGAGTTGAAATTGGATCAAACTCAAGCCTCGAACGACGTCTGTCCATATTTGATTTTTCATCTT